GGGGGGGGGGGGGGGGGGTGACAGCAGAGAGCATTTATTGACCTCCAACAAGATGCCATGCTCGCAGAATGAATGGAGAAAAGGGCCAAGACATCGACAAAGGAGTGGATCTAGAGGCCCAACATACAAGAAGCAAGAAGTCAAATTTTCGGACAGCAAATTTGCCAAATCTAAATTACTCTAATTAGACACGGAATTGGATTTGAATTTAAATTTGGAGTGGATCTAAAGGTATACTATTTATGAAGAATGAATGGGGATGGATTAGCTGTTTGGCTTTTCTAGGTTGTCAAAGTTTTCAAATACAGCCGAAAAGAGTCCGTAATAAGTTCAAAATGCCAATCTATCTCCAACAACCAAGAACTCTGGAGGACAGACTATGAGTTCTCGAGATACAGAGGATTCCCTCAATTGTTCTCAATTTTATCTCCTACGTAAGAGGAAAAACAAGGGATTCGTCTCCTACATTATAGAGTAAAAGAATACGAGAGTTCCCAACCATTCTATTTTGGCTGAAAATCATGGCAAACTGATTCACTTGCATCCTTATTGACAATTCTCCTGTTTCAGCATCTGAATAATGTGCCAAGGCTCTAGAAATTTTCCTCATACGGATTAGAATACAACTAACTATCTATCTGAAGCCATTGAACATGGCAGAAAACCATGATCCTAAGCCTGAACTAATCCAATGTAAGATTTCCACAAATAAAGAATAAGAATAACGCATTGCCTGCTTTTTCTCTCCACAGTTTGATGAAAACATTGATCATACCGATCGATTAACGAATTTAGGAGTCACCAATAATCTGTTTTGGAAGCCTAGAAATGAGTGGCCTAAATTTGGGGATGTCTAGAACATGGATGCCTCTCTTGCTGAGTTGCACCTTTCATTATAATCCATTTTGTATAAACACACACACAGGCAGAGACATGTGGTCACCATAAATGACTAGAAAAGGAAAACAATCAAATATAAGGCAAAGGAAACTTAAATGAATGCCAGACATATCAGACATAGTCTACTTTTCATGTCAATTTGTTTTGAAACAAGATATTTTGCAGCTAATATTTTCAAATAACTGTTCATATGGCATCAAGTTGCATCATGAAAGAAACTAAGAATCATTGAAGAAAGCAAACCTTATTATTACAGCATCGTGTCAACCCCCTTCTCCTTGCTTTAAAGAAAACTAATGATTGCCAGAATCCTTCTTGGGAAGAATTTCTCCCACTACGGCCTCAATCTCTTCCTTGACTCTCCCAAACACTCCGGGGGCCTTTACTTCTTCGGCGGGCGTAGTCTCATCAATATCATCGCTTCTTCCATGTGTTTCTTTGTGATGGTGTGGTGATTCATTATGGTGGGCTACAGCCTCTATCTCTTCTTCCGCTCTCTCAGAAAGATTGGGTGCTTTTGCATCTTTTTCTTCTAAAAGTATGTGTGTGTTGCACACCAAGAGCAAAAAAGAGATAACGTCAGTCAACCAAACACTTCGAGCAAAATCAAACTATGAGTCTATAATGGTAACAACCAAGTCTACCGTTAGTAGATATTGTCCTCTTCAAGCTTTCCCTTCAAGGGCTTCCCCTCAAGGTTTTAAAACGCGTTTGTTAGGAAGAGGTTTCCACACCCTTATAATGAATGCTTCGTTCCCCTCTCTAACCAATGTGGGATCTCACAATCCACCTTTCTTGGGGCCCAGCGTCCTCGTTGGCACACTGTGACTGACTCTGATACCATTTGTAATAGACCAAGCCCACCGATAGTAGATATTGTCCTCTTTAGGATTTCTATTCAAGAGCTTCTCCTAAAGGTTTTAAAACAAATATGTTAGGAAGAGTTTTCCACACTCTTATAAAAAATGCTTCATTCGCCTCTCCAACCAATATGGGATCTCAGAGCTCATTTCTGATCTATAAAAACTCCGAGTAAACAATTGGAGCAACACCTTAACAACCACAAGTTCAAAATTCATGCACCATGGTAATAACTTGTAAAGAACGCAGAAGGAAAAGTTCCTCTTCAGAAATGACAACCGATTCCTTTCAACTAAACATAATTCCCATTGAATTAATGAATCCTAGAACATTAAACTGTTTTAATAATTTAAAATCAAACATTGCCTTAGAAATAGCCGTAGTAACCAATCAACGCCACTAATTACTGAAAATACGGGCTGTCAAGTGTTTTCTAGCTCCATAACGCACCAATCGCCGACAATAAAACACTGGAAGAGCTTAAATGCGTTTTCACTCGTATTCCACTGGATGATCATAATTTCAAGCTAATTATATTTCAGAAACAGCATATTGAAGAGACGAACATAACATCAGAGCAATCAAAACAACAGCAGCTAAAATGAAGTTGATAAGAACGATAAAGAGATTAAACGATTGGAAATACCTGATGAAGAATCTTTGATCACAGTCTTTGGATCCTCCATTCGAGCTTTTCCTTGGGATTGATTAACCCGGCCTCGCTCTTCTGTCCGCTCGCTGGACCATCCCTTCCCCCGTTTACGACGAAACTGACGGTATACACATGTCGACAGTTCTGACCGCTGGACGACTTGTCGTTACGTTTAGCAATTTTACAAAGCCCAACTCGGCCCAATACGAAACGTTTAGGCCCGTTGACTACGAAAATAAGGATTGAGAAGCGGTGCCTATTTAGTCATAAATTATTTTTAAATGAATTAAACTCTAAATTTTTAGTTTGATGTCTTTAATAAATATTTAACATATATTTAAATTTTTAATTTTATATTTCAGAGATATTTTTAACTTTATTTTTATGATTGTGTGGACTTATTAAATTTAAAATTAAAAATTTACATAATTATTTATTAACGATACTCTCTAAAATATTAAATTTATAATATTTGCCACGTACTCAATTATATATACATTATCATATATATATATATATATATATATATATATATATATATATATATTATATTGATAGTTTCATATTTTAAAAAATTGAATTTTTGCATGTTATTTTAACGTTAAATTAAATATTTTGGTTCTTTAGGATTTGACCTCTAAAATTTATATTGATTTGGTTCTAAAATTTTAATTGTGTAATATATTATAAATTTAAAATTTTTAAAAATCAATTAATTTATTAGAAATAATTTTTTTTTATATATATAACTCTATAAATTTAAAAATAAAAAAAAAATGAGAGAATTTATAATTTTAAAAATTTAGAAATTAGATAAAAACAATTAAGATCAAATTTAAAAAAATACGTATAAATTTTGTATTTTTTTTTCTAGAAAATACTCTTTACATTATAAAAATTTAAATAATATCTTTATATTTTAAAAAAAGTTAAAAAATATTGTCGTTAATTTTGCATACAAATCGTTAATATTTTATTTAAAAAATATTAAGGGTTGGATAATATTCTTTTCTTTAAATTTTTTATTTAATAAAAAAGTGTTAGTGAAAATTTAGAAATTTAGAAATTTAGAAATTATTTTTTAAAATGATATTAATTTTGTGTAATTAAAAAAAAAACGGAATCGCCTAATCGGCCAAATGTGACGTCGTTTTACTTTTCGATTACTTGAATTGAGCGCCGCAAAGCATTTAAAATCGTATTAGATTATTAAATTAAATCTTACTAGCCGTTACAATGCAGCCTTTCGTTTTCCCCTTTTCCCTTTTGACTTTTCGAATTTCAAAATTCAAACGACTCTTTCCCTCTTCCATTAATTAGATCCACTCCAACGGTTTCTCAATTTCATCCTTCTTCTCAAGTTTCCATTGAAACCCTAGAAATCTGCAAATTCGCAATTTCTTTTCTAGTTTCCACTCACACAGTGCGCTAAAACCCTAGAAATCTCCAAATTCGCTCGCAGTCGCTTCTGATCTTCACCAGTGGAATCAAAATCGGTCAAATCCAATGGGTTCTTCAAGAAATTGGCTCAAATCTCTCATCAGTCACAAAAAACCTCATCAAATTACAGAGCAAGTAAGCCTCGCGCATGCGTGATTTGTTTGAAAATTCTGTGCCCTAATTTTTTTCCGTTCAATTTGTAGGAGAAAGTCGGGGATGGGAACAAGAAGAAATGGAGGCTATGGAGGAGCGTATCTGATGGAAATGGTTCATCGAGTAAACTTACGAAGAAGGAATTTCTCGAATCAACAGAATCGCACGATTCGAAGCTTTTGGCTAACGCTGTGGCGGCGGTGGCTCGAGCTCCGTTGAAGGATTTCGTGGTGGTGCGACAGCATTGGGCAGCTCTTCGAATCCAGACGGCTTTTCGTGGCTTCTTGGTATAATCCACTTTTATAAATCTGTAAAAATGGATCTGGAAATCATGCTTTTTGGCTTGTGGTTTGCAGGCAAAAAGGGCGTTGAGGGCTTTGAAGGCAGTGGTGAGGCTTCAGGCCATATTTCGGGGTCGGCAAGTCAGGAACCAGGCCGCTGTGACACTGAGGTGTATGCAGGCGCTGCTCCGAGTTCAAGCCAGAGTTAGAGCTAGACCTGTTACTGCTGATGGTTCTCAAGAAGAAGCTGATCCGATCAAGCAGGCTGAGGTAACTTTTGGAATCTAAATGACTCGTTTTCTGTCATGAATTTCAAGGATCTAAAGGATTATAATGGTTTTTTCTTGTTTTGCAGAAGGGATGGTGTGATAATCCGGGAACTGTGGAAGAAGTGAAAAATAAGCATCAGATGAGAAAAGAGGGAGCTGCCAAGAGGGAAAGAGCTCTTGCTTATTCCATTTTACAACAGGTAATAAGAGTTGACTGAATATTTCGTCTTTCTCATGAGTCAGGTCGGTGTCGGTTGTTGAGAATTGTTGGGAGGGAGTCCCACGTTGGCTAATTTAGGTGGTCATCGTCGGTTGTTGAGAATTGTTGGGAGGGAGTCCCACGTTGGCTAATTTAGGTGGTTATCCTGGGTTTGGAAGTAACGAATACATCTCAATTGGTATGAGCTCTTTTGGGGAACTAAAGCAAACCCATGAAAGCTAACATGGTATTAAAGTCATGCTCTTAACTGAGTCGTCTCCATAGAATTCTCAAAAATTGAACAAAGAAGTAGTGAGTTTCGAAAGTTTAGCCAAAAGTCACTATGGTATAGTAAAAAATGACTAAGTGTGGAAAGGGTGTACTTCGTTGCAACGAGGGCTCTAGAGAAAGGAATCGAGCCTCAATTTAGGGGAGAGACTATTCGAGGGCTCCGCAGACCTTAGTGAAGGTTCTATGGTGTACTTTGAGTCCACGTTGGTATGAGCCTTTTTGGGAAAAGCCGAAAGCAAAGCTACAAGAGCTTACACTCAAAATGCACAATATCATATCATTATGAGATATGTGATTCCTAACCTCGGTGTCAGTGTAGGAGTCTGTGTTTGGATCTGGCTGAGATGGCTTAGTTCATTCTTCATAATGCTTAATAACAAATCAGACTCTAAAACATATATACCCTTCGAAAGTTAGTGTCTTTTAATCTGAATATGCTTGTGATTAATGGTGATGATAAATTATTTCCCATTTCAGAGATCAAAATCATGCGCTAGTCCTAAAAGAGGTACGAGCAAACAAATGCTCCAACAGAGGAAGTTTGACAAGAATTACAAGCAGCAGGATTTGAGCTGGTTAGACCGGTGGATGGCGGCCAATTCATGGGAAACCGCTTCGTTGGACACTGTCCCGCCGGGAAACACGCCGTTTTCTCGGAGAAGTGAAGATGTAGGCTACTTTCCTGACAGTTTCCGAACCCGAAAGAACAATGTCACGACAAGAATCTCAGCTCCACCCAATCAAATTGCTCGCTCTCCGTCTTCCTCGGAGTCTGTCTATGATGAGTACTCTGCCTCCATGTCGTCGTCATCCTCGGGGGCAGTGGCGGCGGCAGCAGGTGAAGAGGAGATCAGAAGTAAGCCGAGTTATATGTATCCCACGGCGTCAATCAAAGCAAAGCAGAGAACCGGTGGCGGGAGGACGCCGGTGGTTGACAACCGAGAGACAACAAGCAACAGTACATGTTCTGAGAGTTCAGGGAGGTTATGCCGGGATATGTATCAAGAACCGCCATTTGGACGGCGAGATGGGGTGAGATGCTGAAGAACAGCCACCGTATGCGGCGGCGGCTTGCCGGGAGTGTATGGGATTTAACTTCTTTTTTCATTTCAACAACTTGTTGCCTTTTTGTGTGGGCTGTGTGGTGTGTTTATATATACATTGTGACTAGATATGGTGTTACTCCCAATACAAATTGTTTGGAATCTAATATAAATTTTTCTTTTTTTCTGAAGTTAAAAAAATGTGAACACAATTCTCGAACGAACTGTCAACTTGTGCACGTACCCACGCATTTAAGTTATTAATAGTATTTATGTATTGAGTTATACTCGAGATGGCATCATGAAATGTAATTGGGGCTCGAGAGTTCCGATTAGTACAATATTTGGTTGTCATGTCCTAGTAAGCATTATACTCTTCGATAATACTTGGTAAATGCCAAAATTAATCGATGAGCTTTGATTGAGCATTTTAAGGCCATTTTGACTCAATGGTTCGGACTCAATGTTAAAAAGCGGTAAGGCATGCTGTTGAGAATGTAGATGATAAAATGAGATGTAACGTTCCATTTGAAGAATCTCAGTCTGGAGTTGATGCAAACTTGAGTCTTATAATAAATGCAAGCTAACTAGACATGAGTGACGTTTATAGTCGCAATGAAGCTTAGTACTGCATAAATCATGTTCGGTTGAGACAAAGAATTTTGTTTAAGGTTCAATGAAACTATAAAGACGAGAAGAAAAGTATAACGGGGCTAAATATTAAATAAGTTATCGGGTGTTGTTTTAATTAATAGTTTAAAATAGAGCAGCAAGGCATACATCACATCGACACGTACGGGGAGGCTTGTAATGTCTCCCTTTATTTGCTTGCCTCCTTACAGCTCAAAACGACGTTCGAGTTTGAATGGTTGACTTTTATCAATAAAATGAATGACATGCTTCTTTCGTGGAACGTCATTTCATTCTCGTAACGGGAGTGAGTGCACTTACTCCACCAGGTTCTCGTGAGAGTTCCACTCGCTCTGATCCCTAAATGGTTAAGCTTTGTAAGCAAGTCGTGAAATATTTTAAGGTTGATCTATTATTCAATCGTGGCCCAACACTAAACAAGCTCATTAAAAATTTGGGCCCAATATTCTAACAAGCCCATTAAACATAAGAACTACGTGATGGGCCGGCGGGTCAAGTTTGTGATTTTAGAATTATACGACGCCGTTTAATAATGAAGAAAATAACGAATTTCGCATTCTTATCCATTCAGCGCGATTTTCTAAAGCCCTTCCTCTGCCAGGGGCCTAGGGCTTTACTCTGGCCGAGGGAAAAAGAAGAAGAAGAAGAAGAAATTCACTGTTTATTTTACTAGTCGGATCATGATTTTCATAGATTAGCAGAAGAATTTCCAGCTTCAATGGCGGAAGGAAAGCATTCCAATGCTGTCTTCAACTCTTGCAATGGTGAAAATTTCCTCCAAATGTACGATCAACAGCACCAGATTGATTTGCGGAGTGAATTGGAAGAAGGGAATGTGGATAGTACAGGAAGTGAAAAGAAGCATTCGGTGAGTCAGTATGATTCTTCATCTTCTATCATTTTTTTGAATCGAGCGGTCATCGCTCCTGTAAATACACGCATAATTTTATGGGAAATAGTTGTTGAATCGATATTTTTTGGAGCATGACATTTCGTTTTTTTTCTTATTTGGTAGCAAACAATTCGTTGGAGACGTTTCTTGGGAGACCACTGAAGGTAATGAATTTAGTAAGTTGTTGATTTCTTGGGGTGTGGGGGTACCATAGAAACTGGGGTGCTTTTTGTTCGTTTAATCATTTACTGTTCTTTGTATTGGAATTATATGGTAGCTGATGGATTCTTTGATACATTATTATTCTTATTTGATAAGGTGGGCACTTTCATCAAGCCAAAAGAGAACCCCTCCAATGTTGGTTTAGTGTTCTTCATAACTAGGCAGAAATCATTTCTTCATAACTTGGCAGAAATCAATCACATATCTTTCTTTTAGTGTATTTATCTTTTGAGCTTATATTTTAGTTGCAAAAGTCTTTGGTAAAAATATTTTGTTATTGTTCTATCAATGTCTTGTTTTCAGTTCCCTCTTTTTTTTCTTCATTTTATTCCACATTATCTTGATTATATTGCTATGGGCAGCCTAAACGAGCGTCATTTGAAAACTTGGCCTTTGCAAAAGTCTAATAAATGTTAGCATAGTTCATCGGTAATTGACATATACTCATTCTCTTGAAGTCCGAAGTTCATAGTCTCCACGCTTCTCATTTGTTGTAGTCAAAAGACTAGTTGATGCTAAAGAACTCTTCAAAGGTTTAATGACCTCCATCTCCATGGCATCTTTAGGAAAAGAAAAATTATGTTTCTTTTGTCACGTTGCCATTGTGTTAATATGTTATTATTTGCACGTTGTTCTTTTTGAATTCTGACTGTCATCATCCTGTGATACCTGTCTTGACAGTTAATTATTATTATTTGGTATTTAGAGACGTTTTTATAGATGGCAGAGCAGTAGCATAAATATCAGTTATTTTTGTAATTCTAAACTTGTACTGTTTGGATATTTCATAAACATTGCAGAGGAGTTTAAGGACTACTCTTTCTTTTGGTAGAATTATCGAGCATCAAATCATGATAGATTTTAAAATGAAGCCGTCTAGAGGATTTGGATTTATCACTTTTGAGAGAGAAGATGCAGTAGAAAACAGGTAATAGCTTAAGCCCATCGCCAGTAGATATTGTTTTCTTTGGACTTTTCCTTTCCTTTCGAGCTTTCCTTTCGGATTTTTCCTTCGGTAAAGTTTTGACCCCTCTTAGCATGCTAACTCATTTTTAGATATCTACCAAGTAGCGAAGTCATTCAAAAAGAGAATCGATTCCTTATTAGCTGATTCTTTAGTGAGAAATAAAACGTGTGTCTCACTCTATTTTAATGTCTTTTTATCAGGTTAAGAGAAGTTGGTCACATGAGATGGCAGACTAATCACATGGATTTCAAAACCTTCCCACATGAATTAGTGCCAAATCCAAAACAGTTTCAACAGATTGAAAAAGAAAAAGTAAAAAGAAATATTTTATTTAGTTGCCAATTGGGTTACCAAAAAAGGTTAAATTATTTGAGCTTTTTTCAGGCTCCAAGCACGGAGTTTTGTGATGGTTGCACTCTCTGTTCCATTGTTGAAAGCATAGAGACCAGCTTTGTCTCCAATCGCCAACTTTGGATACGCTCTGGGATTACTTTTGTTGTGTAAGATGGAGGTTTTGACGTCAATTTCGTAGGGTTTAGCCTCGCCGGAGCTTCGTCGGATTTTCTCTGTCTTCTTCGTTTTCACTTTTTTTTTTCTTCTTTGCAGGTGTTTTGGGGTGGCTGAAGGTCGGGATCGAGTTTCCTTGGTGACCCAGACTTCGACCGCCCTTTGTGGGTCGTGTGCGAACGAAAACTCCGCTATTTTTTTAATTATTATTTTTTTTTTATCCGATCCGTTACATCACATATGAAAGTTATAATTTTCCTCAACACCTTCTATTGGAAAGGAGAAGAAAGTTATAGAGAGCAAGAGATGGGGGCGGGGATCCCTTGGTTCCTTGCGAAGAACTTTCTCTGTTTTCAATAATGTCCCGGTTTAGCTAACAAAGAGAAAACTCTTTCAACACCTTCCTCTACTTTCTGTCTTATTTGGGACGAATTTTTGTATGGTTTCGACCCCTCTCAGAGTATGCTAACTCATATTTAGATATCGAAGCATAATCGTTTGTTTATGAAATAATTGCTTTTTATTACGTTCATAGGAAAGCAAAAGAGAAGTTGATCACATGGGAATGCAGACTAATCATGTGGATTTCTCAACCTTCACCCATGAATTAGTGCCAAATCCAAAACAGTTTCAACAAATTGAAAGCAAAAGTAAATGAATATTTTATTTAGTTACCATAAAAAAGGTTAACTTATTTGAGCTTTTTTCATGCTCCAAGCACTGAGTTTTGTGATGGTTACCCTCTCAGTTCCATTGTTGAAAGCATAGAGACCAGCTTTGTCTCCCATCGCCAACTTTGGATAAACTCTCGCTGTGATGCAAGCCTTCCCTTTAGATCCAAAGCTTTCCACAATTGAGTGATCAATCTGTAAATGTTTCACAAAAATGGTCAAATTCATCGATCGAGATCTATTATGAACATCGAGACCCGAGCACGATAATGCTCCATACGTATAAAAAAGAATCTCACCAGACTTCTCAACGAAATGTTTTCACGAACTGGGTCTACATCCAAAAATGCCCCATACGTTGTCTTGTCATTATTTGCGTTCAACGAAGACCTGTCCAACAAGAAAAGCAAAGTTCAAACATAAACAAATTATTCAACGCAGGATCGAACAATACGAAACAATTGCACATCACGTTGGTGGGCATACCTGCTTTGGTCGCTACACATAAGCACGACATACTTGTCTTGTCCTTTAAATACCCTAAAGAACACTGAAGTGTACTCTTCCAAGTCCTTGGAAGCCAAAACTAGAAGCCCAAATGGACCCACTCCACCCATGGCAGCTGCTCCCATTCGGCTACAAGCCAATTGTGGGTCTTTCCATTCAGCCTTCAGCCTTTGAGCTTTCTTGAAGCTTTTCACTTTGAATGAAACCTCAACATCGGCCTGTAATAATAACAATAATGCCAATAAGAAACCAAACACGAAATCAAACAACCTTAATGAACACAAAATGAGTCAGTCACCTGCGCCGCCGTTACACCTTTTACTGCAATTATTGATCCTTTCTTCACTACTTTGTTTCTCAATTTAATTTTGTCCTTTCGAAGCTTTTGAATTTCCGCAATTGGCCATTGAATTAGTTGCTTTCCAGATGCATCAAGCCAAACAGCCCTTGGAATTGCCTGCAAAAATACAATATTTAGGGAAGTATTTTTTTCTTTTTAGAATATTTTTTAATGCTGAAATAAATGGACTTCGATTATTCAAACATTGACTTTGACTTGCTTACCTGGACGCCAGACCATCCCTTCTTCATATCATCGTCAACGCTTGAGGATTCATTCACCCAACCCCACAATACTCTCCTCTTCTTTTGGCCGTCAAAAAAGGTCTTTGAAGCGTAATACTTTCCATAATCATATCTCAATCCTGTGTAGCCTTCGGTTGATTCTTTATCCGGAACATAAATATCTTTCTTCAAATCATATGTTCCAACGGTGTAATGATCATGCTTAGTATCATCCAAGCTCACCTTGAGCACGTGTTTCACGTGCCCTCCATTCACACTCGTGTCAATGCCTGCCCGACCATTCTTTGCCACAGGGAAGAAATCTGGGCACTCCCACATTCCTGTGCCATCGGCATAATGAAGAGGATGATCAACCTACACATCAAGGATCAAAGGATTTTATTACAACTGGGAACTCTTTAAATTTAACCCAAAGAGAATACAGAGTTCTTAGCTTTCTACCCCACCTGATCCCACCTAACAAAATCTTTACTTCGAAACATAATGGCAAGTCCACGAGCGTCAATCTTGCTCCCAATGATGACCCGCCATTGGCCATCGTGACCGAGCCAGGCAGTGGTGGGGTCGCGGAATGAGCTAGAGTTGATTCGGTTCTGTGGGGTGGGAGCCATGAGAGGGTTGTTTGGGGATTTCACCCATTCTCTAAGATATGGGTCAGACAGATTCTTAGGGAGGGCCAAGTTTTGAACTTGTTGGTTTTTAGGGTTAATTCCTGTGTATAGAATCGCCGGTTTTTCGCCCGGGAGAATGGTGGCGGATCCCGACCAGCAGCCGTTGATATCGGAGGGCTGAGATGGGTAGATGGCATGATCGTGGGGTTTCCAATTGATCAAGTCCGTTGATGTGGAGTGGGCCCACACAATGTTACCCCACGTAGCTCCTTTAGGATTGTATTGGTAAAACAGATGATAAATTCCCTTGTATATCATTGGCCCTAAAACGATCACAACCCTTCAATTACCGTTCAAATAGCCATTAAAAAAAAAAAAGAAACAAAACAGCGTAGGGATGAACAAACCATTTGGATCTGTGATTGGGCAGACAGTTCCGTAGCCAAATTGAGATGACAAACAAACAGATGGAAGCTTTAAGAACAAGAAAAAAAAACCCAGAACAACACAAATGGAAACGAAAGCGAGAGAGACCGACCGTTGATCCAGTTCTTAGGAGGCTGAAAATGGTAGGAAGTTCTGTAAGGCTGTTCATAATGATGAAGAAGAAGGCGAGAAGCTTGCGCTGTGTAAACATGGTGGGAAGCTTGAAGCTTCAAAGCTCCATGGCAGAGCAAGAAACAGAGGAGAGAGATGAAGCAGAGAGAGGAGGAAGCCATTGGCATTGGTGAAGAAGATTCAAAATTTGGGTTTTTTTCAATCCCTATTTATAATTAAAAATCTATTTTTCATTGCCCACATTTAGAGAGAGAAAAAAGAGGAGAGAGAGTGGAAAAAAACAAATTGATAAGTCAAATTGTGGAAAAAAAAACATACTTTTATTAGATAATTTTTTAATACAAAATTTTTAAATTCTGTGTTCGTAAATTTGTTATAATCATAACTGAGTTTGTTAATTTATGTCGTACACGATACTAAAAGTTAAAAATTTATACGTTTTGAAAAATATTAATGGTGTGAAAAGTCAAATGTACCCCTACATGAGCTTGGGGTGTCTTCAGGTCCAAGATAATGAGGGACAAAATAATAATAAAATATATTAATAAAGTTTGGATATTTTGGACTTTTACTCAACTGCATTTTTTATTTTAGTAATTTAATTCTCCTCCACATAAGTGTTTTCAGTTGACCTTAGAGACCAATAAAAGAAAACCACGTGTCACCACAAATAATTTCTATTTTTTTAATTGAGAAATTATGTTTTGTTAAGAAAAATACGTGTCAGTTTTATACTTTTCTATTCCTTTTAAATTTTTAAATATTTTATGTTCTTAAATTTTTTTAAATATTTTAAATTAGTTAGTATATTTAGTAAGAGTTTTAATTTTTTATAAAAAAAATAACTTTATATATATTAATACTATAAGAATATTATTTTTGAAGTTTTTTAAAAGAATTAAGTGTCTCTTTCAACCTTTTTTTTTAATGTAAAGTTATTTTTAAAATAAAATATTAATAGTTTCGATGTAAATAATTTTTTAATTTTTTTTTAAAAAATATCTCTAAAATATTTTTGAAATAAAGAGAACATTATTTTTTATTTTTTATTAATAAGATACCTTATAAAAAAAATAATTGGTGAATTTTCAGAGTTTGCAAAGTTAAATTGTGCATCACTCGTGTGACCCATAAAGAGAACTTTGATCTGATGCGGGTATTTAATTCTACCATTGAGATGTTAAGCAAGTTCCTGAACGTTGACGAATGGCCAACCATATCACGAGGAATTACGAGTGTGACATAGAATTTCGATTTAAAAGGGGAGCGGGGAGGGAGGAAGTGTCGGAGATAGATTTTTTTCCATTAACTAAGTAAAACTGAGGTGGGTAGTCATGTTCTTGACACACTCACGACCCGTAGAAACTCAAGTCTCATTTGACCTTAGACGTCTTCGCCCGGCAAATATAACTTGTGCCCAATCCAATAATATGATATGGACACCATATCCTCCCATGTTCATGTCATATTATTTACGGACTGTATACTAGATAACAAGTGTATGATCCAACCTCCAACACATGGTTGAGGCGCAATGTTGAGACAGTCATGTTATCCAACACTGTATTTGAAAGACTTATTTCAAAAGAAGTTGTTGCGAGACTCGCCCTCACTGTGACACATATATGCCATAGGGTAGCTCACTTAAAACATAGAACCTAGGAGTGGTGGAGAGATACTACATTTTGAGGCATTTTGAATCTGTATCAAAAGTCACTAAGCTCGACGCTCGTCATCTCCTTGAACATGGTGTGGATTGGACCTTTTGAATTTTCAAAAGCAATGTGCTTTATTCTTAAAAGAAATTAATTGATTTGACCTATGGCCCATCGATTTTGAGATTTTTATTCTTACAAAATAAAAAATATATATATATATATAGAGAGAAAAATATAGACGAATTTGATAAATTTACGCAAGTGGCTCTACTGTTCGTTTGTTTGATAAATTATTTGAAATATGAACCACGAGTGCCTAGTGACCCCAAAATGTAAGCATATTGAATCGACTACAGAGTCATTCTCACTCATGCAAATCACAGTGAGATATTAATTTTCTCTATTAATGAATTTACCATGAGAGATTAAATATTTTGTGGTCCAGTCTTATACAAACTCATTGTATATTGATACCTTCACATAAACGAATCAGATCAATTTTTTTGTAACAATTACAATATAGGTCGTATCAATAGTGGCACCCAACATTTTCCATATACTATGAACCTTTTAAGTTATTACTTGAACACATAGACTTTATGAGGTCGCTTGACGATTCATGTGCATATACGCCAATTTTGACCAAACTAGAATTAAAAATCAAATTCATGTTGTCTTCTTAAAAAATATATATATAAAGTTTGGTAACGTTATAATTTAACAATTGTTGTGTTGTAAAAAAGCCCATGAAAAAAGTGATATGGGCCGAAGCCCATTTGGAAAAAGCCCATTTTGATCGAAATTAGCTAATTTACTCGACAACGCTAAATCTGTTACCAAACATAGCTCTAAAATCATAATCAACACTTTCTTTTTCTTTTTATTATAATTATTAATTA